GCGAAGCCCACTAATTTTTTTTTTATTTTATGGAAAGCTTTTACCCATATCTTTGCGTAATTAACCTGCACAGAGTTGCGTAAAGAAATACTAGCAACAGTGAGTGGCCAGAGGATGAGGAAAGAGGACCACATTCCTTGGCTGTGCGCAGTTGAAACATTGCTCCCGATATATAAACCAATAAAATGAAGCTGTTTTAATAGCAAGGAGGGGATGGTAGAAACCCTGAGTTCACTGGGAAAAAAAAAAATAATTACAGATAATTATCAGGTCTGTAATAGTTATATCCCCGCCTGCAAGATTTTGGAGAGCCAGGGGAAGATGTGTAGATTCTGACAAGGATTTGCTTTGCAATCACTTTCCTACATGGATGGATGTTTTCTGCACTAGTTTGTTGCTCTCGAGGTAATGGGTGCAGGATCTGGTCCTTCAACTGTTCCCTGTCTGAAGGGGATCGTGCATCAGCCATCTCGACTGTGATGTTTCTGCATTGTAAATAACCAAAAGGAAAATTTTTGGGGCTTGTTTTTCTCCTTCTTACATAAATGGTTGTAATACCATAAAAGAGCAATAAAAACTTCACAACACGATGCCTGCCTGGTTTTTGTGAACGGCCTGGTGATCAGCAGTAACCTCCCTGGGTAGGAGGTTGCTCAAAGCTGTGCAAAAAAAGCTCTCATGGTGAGGAAGCCCCAAGGGGACAGGGTAGGAACGCAAAGCCCAGGGGGTCTGGAGGCACTGGGGGTACCCACAGCTGGTGCCACACTCCGGGTGCAGGGTCCAGGCAGGACATGCTGTGGGATGGGGGGATGTTTTTGTGCCTTCCCCATCACCTGGGACCCATCGGTCCTGGTTGATGGAGGAGAGCGGAGCTGGTGAGCACCCGGGGATGATCCACACTGACTGTGTCCGGTCACTGGGGCATCACAGGGGTTCAGAAACAGCTCTGCACAAATGGCGTGAGTGTGTTTGTTAATCCAGCTGCTCCCCTGTGGTATGCGTGGAAAATAAGGATGAGGAGCTGAAGAAAATGCCAACACAAGAGAGGTCTTGGGAAATTAATACTTTATTGTCTCATGTTGACCTCATGGGGCCAAAACACAGCCTGGTGAAGTGATGCCCCTTCCTAAGGGAACGATGGTCCTGGAAAGCAGAGGAGAGTGTTTGCAGCTGGGCAGCCCCAGGGCTTGCAAAGCTTTGGGGATGCTGGAGAGAGCTGGTCCATGAGTTTCCTTTGGTGCTGGAGCTGGGGCATGTGGGACACCTCATCACTTCAGCTTCTGCGAGGGCAGCTGGGGGATCTGCTGCTGCTGCTGCTGCTGCTGCCAGCGTGCTTCGAGAAGGCAAGTTCCTCGGGGCCAGGCACGAGCGTTCGCTTGTGAAATTAAACAATATTACATATAATAAAACAAGCTTGTGTCTGCTTGGAATATAGGTACACTCCCTGCATCGTGGTCCTTTTGTCCATGGCCTAAAAAATGCTGGTGACAACGAGGACATACACTCTCCTGTGGTTAGAGCACAGCTCTCAGATGCAGAGGACAGGCAGCCCAGGCCCGGCTTTGCCGTGGCACTGGTCCTTGTCCTGGCGGGAGCACATCGTTGTGTTTTGGGGTGACCTGCTGGGAGAGAGGAGCTGTCAGGGGCTGCTGCATGTCCCACCACCCTGATGGCCCCAGAGCCCTGATCCTAGGTTCCCTGTGCCTGCACCTTTTGCAATTTCACCCCCCTAGTACGGATGTCCAGGATCCTGGGAGACCCCCTGGATCTGGGGCAATGCCCTTCATCCACTGATGAAGGATTTAATCAGCTCGGTGTAGCATCGCTCCCTGGTGCTCTCCTCCCTCCCTGCATCCCACCGTCCTGTGAGCATCCCTGCACCCCAGCAGCAGGGTTTGTGTTAAACCCGTGCTCTGCATCCCTTGCTGGGAAACACGTCCCCCGAAGAAGGAAAATCCATCTGCGCTGCCAGACTTACCTGAGCTTGGGAGGAAAGTAAGAGGAGGGAATGAAGACGTGCGGGACTGGGGCAGTTTTATAGAGATCTCAGATTCCTTCACCCGGAAATGAGACAGCTCTCTGTCATAACGATCTATTAATTTAATACCCAATCCCCATCAAACCGCCCTCTGTTTACATTGGTTGCCTGACTCATTCCTGATGGGTATCATTCCTTTTTTATCTGTTTCCTGTGCCACATAAGTATCTAATTGCCAGCCTCACCTGCCTTTAATAGGAAAACCCGTGGGTGCCTGGGTTTCCAAAGGCTCGTCTGCTTGGGCTTTGTTTTGTCAAATTAAATCCAGGCATAATTATAGCCCTGTCCCATGAGGCTCTGCTCTCAGAGTTTAATCCCTGCTATTGAGCCGGCACCAGATAAAGCCAGAAATAATCCAGGTAAAAAGGAGTGGAAAGTTGCTCTCTCTTCTCCATTAGATACTCGATCCGAAAGAGCCACCACACCCATGGGGACAGCCAGTGGGACGAGGACAAAGTCCTCCCAGGCTTCATCTAGAGAAGAGTATCAGGTCTTCAGCAGGGGTTTCCTAGCTTTCTTGCTTGACCTAAAAGGTGTGAATTCCCCCCAGAAGGCACCTGAGCAGCCAGAAGAAGGTCCTGGGGACTGCTGAAAGCCTTGCAAGCCCTTTGTGTTCACATACATCTAAGCAAGGTCCCTGAGTGCTTTGTTGACGAAGACTAGCTATTTCCATCTTCTTAATGACAAAGATCAGGAAACCACTGAGGAATTAGGAATTAAAAGACCCAACTGGTGCTGCCTGCTTCATTGGTTTGTCTTCTGGAGCAAAGCCAGAGCTCTGGAGATGTCCCTTCTGCACAGCCCTGTCCTGGTTGAAAAGCTATTCAGCACTTCATGACCCTACAAAGAACACGAACGCCTAAAAGCCACAGCTCCTTATTTACAGGGTAAAGGCAAGAAAATGTCTGAGATGTAGAAGATAACACTGGGAGTCACACAAACAGATGTGAAGATGCACCTTGTTGCCAAAAAGAAATGCTTTGGCTGCTCTCCAAGGGAGGAGGGGATAGCACTGGGGCTCTGACTCTTCGAGCCGAAGGCCAATGTCTTTCCCAAGATACAAGTCAACGAGTGCTATTTCGTTATGCTCAGCACCGTTAGCGGCACTGAAAATTGTCTCCTTCCTGCTTTTCCTGGAAGCTGTTGGGTGGTTCCTGTCCTGCTTTGGGCAAACACCCATTGACGGGGATTTGAGCTGGCCCTGAGGTCCCTGTCTTGCACGTGGCCCAGCTTGAGCAGAGGGGGATGTGGTGACGATGGGATGAAACCTCTCCTGGGGCTGCAGGAGTTGCCAGGACATGAGCAGCTCACGCTGCTCACATCCAAAATTTTGGTTACTTGAACTGTCCATCACGAGCCTCCTACCTGGTGGTGACAGAGGAGGGGCTGTCTTCTCCAAGGGGTCAGCGATGGGAAGGATTACAAATCTCTCCTCTGACCTCGCAGACTCGTGGCTCACCCAGCGGGAAACGCAGCCGGCATTTACCGCGCTGACTGACGCTGATGTCATAGGATTTCATATGGAAACCCGTGGTTGCAATTGTAATTAGCGGAGGAACTGGGCAGACACCCACTTAGAGCTGTGCGTGCGGCAGCGAAAATCCACGTGGCTGTCGGAGCGAGCGGGTGCATGCACAACACAGACGGGGCAGGTTCCTGTGCGAGTCCAGGGCGACGTCCACGGGGCTTCGTGCCATCGCCGTGTGCGTCCCTCCCGCCTCCCGAAACAATAACCAGTGACTAAAGACTCAAGGACAAACGCGTTTCTGAGCACGAGTCCTGTGAAATCTGTTTCTTTTTGTCTTTTCAGAAGGATATTTGTGGCAGTCCTGTCTTGCCCAGGCCAGGGCTGATGTTCTGCACAAAAGAGTTTAATGCTGATGTGCTTTTCATGTGATGACCTCATTCATTCGATGAGAAAGGGCATACGAGTATTTTAAGTGTAATCAAACGTGTACTGAGTTTCCTAACGACTGGTGTTTTCTGTGTGGTCCCCAACCTCTCAGATGTGCTAGTTCAGCTTTCAGTTAAAAGCAGAAACCACATCAAAATGGAAGCAAAGAAGCTTCTGTCCTTTTTTCTTGTGGTTACAGGAAAAAAATAATCTTTAAACAATCAAAAAACTAAAAGACCAAGGAAAAGAACCTTAAAACATATGGCTAATAATAAGTTCTAGGGGGTTTTTTTTGGATGTGAGGGGCTGGCAGCAGGGCAAGGGTGCACCACCAGCTCCTCTCGCTCCGCCTTTGCGCGGGGCTGTAGCACATCTGGGCTGGGCTGCTCCCAGCTGCAAATCCCCTTCCCTGGTTGCCTCCCTGCCTTTCCAGCAGCACCTCTGCCAGGTCCTGTCTGTGCAGGGAGACGGATTTGGCTTCTCTCTCTGCCAGCTCTTCCCTTGGCTCTTTGCATCCCTTAGTCCGGCTCACGGAGGTAGAGACCTGCCGAGTTCCTCTGCCGTCGATGCGTGCGCGACGAGCTTCAGAAAACACAAGAAGTGAAGACTTTGCTGAATTCAATTGCGCTGTTTTACGCGGCGATATCATTCTACATAAAATGCAACGTTGAATGGTCTTCCTGTGCCCACGTGATGGGTGTGTGCCTTCTCAGGGGTGACTTCCCCTGGTCAGGATATATGACCTGCTAGTAACTCTATAGACCCTATATTCCTCTACACCCAGCTGCATGCCTGTGGTGTGCATGGAAAGTAAGGATAAGGAGCTGAAGGAAATGCCAACACAAAGGTTTTGGGAAATCAATGCTTTATTGTCTTACGGGCACCTCACAGGTCCAAAGCACAGCCTGGTGAAGTGATGCCCCTTCCCCAGAGAATGATGGTCCCAGAGGGCAGAGGAGAGCGTTTGCAGCCGGGCAGCCCCAGGGCTTGCAAAGCTTTGAGGGTGCCGGAGGGAGCTGATCCATGTGTTTCCTTTGGTGCTGGAGCTGGGGCATGTGGGACACCCCATCACTTCAGCTTCTGCGAGGGCAGCTGGGGGATCTGCTGCTGCTGCTGCTGCTGCTGCTGCCGCTGGGAGTGGGTCTGTGGGTTTCCCTG